TTACATATTTATTTTATTTACATTTAAATTATGCAATTTATTTACTATGCAAATATCCAATTGTTGTAATAATCTAGATTTAAATTCTTGTCTATATCCCCATTTGAACATTTGTACCCCCCTTCCCATATTTGGTTGTGTAATAGCTTAGTAATTTTAATTTCGCACTTTATTGCTTTCTAAATAATAACATGCTAGAATTAGGGTTTGTATACGAAAAAACGATAAAAAATAGTTTGACCTAATACAAGACAAACAAGCATGAAAATGGACACACAAATCACACTTGCACCCCCTAGGGTATTCCACTTGTTGCCTTCAAATAAATGGGCCATATTGTATGTTGAACATCTTTGGGCAAAGCAAACAGTTTAAATGATCATAGTCCCTCGATAAAACCTTTTTTCAAAACAAACAAAACAAATGATCAAGTCCCTTAGAGAAATTGCCCAAAGATATTTAACGTTGTTACAATTATGGTCTAAACGATGACCCGCGCCTGTCCCTTTCACATCCTAACACAAGGTTGCCCACCAAATACAATGGTGGTGCAAACTTGTTAAAAGGGTTAAAGTATAGCAATAATCTTTTGAGAAATTTAGGAGTAGATAAACTCTTAGTTACTTGAATCAAACTTGCAAAACAAAACACTTGCCTATTTTTTCAAACCACACTTCACTACACTTTCAAAACAACTTTCAAAAACAAATGAAAACCTTTTCAAAAGACATACATCTTTGTATACATCCCCACATGGATCATTGCAAAGGTTGCCACCACATTGGCCTCTTTTCAAAACATTTTCAAAACCCACACACTCAAGCACCATTTAAAACAATTGAAAACAAAAGGCAAGTGATCTAAGCAAGTAACTAAGAGCCCATGGATAACCATGGATAGAAAGGGTGCTAATACCTTCCCTTTCTATAATCTACTCCCCGAACCCAAGAAAACATCTCAAAAGGTTTTTGCTGTGCTTTTTAACCTTTCCTTAGGATAAAATAAAAAGTCGGTGGCGACTCTTGCTAACCGCAACATTTGCGAATACAAACGCAAACCTCAAGTCAGTTCTCCCACCGTATCACACCCTCAACTGTTAGTAGCAGCTGTAGCACCAAACAATGTGCCTTATTGTCGCGGAGCGATTTTCGGAATGCGAGGTATCAAAGACCAAGATACAAATAAAGCAAGAGTCGCCACCGTCTTTTATTTACTCTAATGAAAGAGAGGGAAAATAACGAGAAAACCACAAATACATAGTCTAGGTAAGTTGTCACATTACGCAAGGAGAAGGTGTTAGGCACCCCTCACGTCCTTGGTATTCCAAGGGAACCACTTGTTTTGTTTGTTATTATTATTGCTTGTTAATTATTTACATGAAGAAACCAGGGTTGTATATTTTAAGTGGATTTGGAACGATTCGAGTAGACATCATTTGCCTACGTACCACCCCAAGTGCAATGGGGGATCAAAATCCGCGTAGTTATCCCTACGGGTTTTTAATGTGTTTAGTGTTTTTTAAAGGTTACCTATTAACTATGGTCAAGCCATCCCAAGTGGGAAAAAGGTAATAAAACAAGAGAAAGATTTGGTTAGGTATTTTTTAATGTCTTTTTATTTGTTTAAACCTTTACTAAAATGAATTTTACAATGGTTTATTTACATGTAATGGGTAGGAAAACTAATTAGCGCGTTAGGGCTTATTTACAAAGATTTACAAGTGCAAAAGTAACTTTATTTACAATGGTGTTTTTTAGGTGTTTTACTCTTTATTTACAAGGCATTTTATTTACAAGGGTTTACATACATGGGTTTAATTACAAGGCTTACAACATTCACAACACTTATTTACAAACAATATGCACATGGATAAAGCAATTAAAGTGAAGCCCTCACTTGGCAATTTGGAGAGCTTTCTCCTTACCATAGCGCTGTCAACAAAACAGTTAGCAAATGCACATGAACAAGCAAACAAATGCTACAATGAATGCAACATGCAATCCATTCAACATGCAAAGCAACAACAATGTACAAACAACTAGCAAGCACAAGCTATTTACAAAAACAATTGAGTTCCACTCGATCAAAAATCAAACAATTACAAGGCACAAGCCGAGTAATGAGAAAAGGGGTCCTGCCATAGCCAAGGAGAGCGAATCATCCGAGTCAACCAAGCATTAGACCAAACAACTGTACAAACGACAAGTTGCTACTCTAAACAAGCCATTACCACGATATCATATCATCGGGTAAGCTAGATGAAGAAAGAAAAGGTGCGTGCGTACACCAAGCATCAATGTCGGACGACATGAGCTAAAGAAAGTGAGGGGATCGATTACATGATCCCTTACCTCTTGCCTCAATGGAGGGCTTTTTATTTGTATCAATCAAGATCTTTTGGTACATGTTCAGAACTCGGAACTTGAAAAAAGTGAGCATAAGAACGACACGGACTAGAAAGCGTGGGGGTTGATTACTAACCCTACTCCACATGCCCCTTTGAGAGGTCTTTTATTTACAACCTGAAAAGTAAACAAACACAAACATTGCCTCCTAGGGAGGACTTCCAAAAAATTGCCGTCCAAGTGGTACAGTCTCCAGTCCTACTTCTCATGGCATCAAAAAGAAAAATGCAGAATAAGATACAAGGGAAAAGAGCACTACCAAGCAAGCAAATCCAATATCAAATTCTAAGAAAGCAAGTGAGATATAGTAATCTCAAGCAACTGAAACCAGCAAACAAAAAGAGTCAGAACAGTTCACAAGTTTATTTAAACAAAGCAAGGTATCGCTCGATCGCGAAAGCGAATCACAATCGAATACAAAACCTGCAAGAAAACATAATGCAACCAATATACAAACAACAATCAAGCACATGGTCAGTGTTATCAACATTTATTTACAATGACAAGAAGGAATGGAAATATACAATTGCCTTGTACCCGATTCACAACAAAGTACACTTCCTTTTAAACGAATGTGAATGAAACTTGTGAAACAAGCTAAGAGATACAAAAAGCAAGCACAATTGAAGTAATGTGAACCTATAGATCAGATGCTTAAACATCCACATGATCATGCAATGGAAAGAGGTTTGTTAACTAACCAAAGTGAGATTCACACGTACTACAATTTTAAAGTGCAATGCAAGGTTTACAATTTTAAAATGATGAATTTACTTTAAGAATCAACATGGATCAGAAGTTAAACACTACCAATAAGAGGAAAACACATGATATTTTTCATAAGAATTTTCATTCACACACATTCACAAGGAATTACACTATGCTACGAATCGAGAAAAGGCGATCGAAATGCGATACAATGCAATTTACAAGACAAGTGACATATGCAATGCTCAAACATAAAAAAGTTGAGAACTAAGTCCCATTTAAATCCTAAAAGTAAGCTACTTGAATTTTTTTGGGATTTTTATAGTTTAGTTTACTATTTTAAATGCCTTATTTTTGAATGAAAAAGGCGTGTTTTAAACTTAAAAAGGGGAAAATTATCAAACCTAAACAAAAATGCAAAGAAAAAGTATTTCTTAGTCCCTTACTGACCCTAGGTCAGAACCAAACTATTTTTAGGAATTTTTTAATTGGTTAAGCATTAAAAGCTTATTTACTAATGTTGGTTATTTTGAATTTAGGGTTAATCACAATTTATTTACACAAAAGGATTTAAACAGAAACTAATATTTTTGTTTATTTATTTACAGAAAGAGGATGATTTTAGAAAATTAATGCAATTGGTTTTATATTTTTATGATATTTATTTTGGTTAATATGAATTTTTTTATTAAAAATTAAATGCTATTTATTTATTTACAATTATTGGTTTATGAAAAATGTTTAAACACAAAGTTGGACTTTCATTTTTTTGTCTTTATTTTTTTATATTATCTAACATCTATCAAAATTTTTATGTATTTTTAAAAGGTATTTTAATATTTATTTACTATTTTTTAAGTTTTTGATGTATTTTAAAATGCTATTAAAAGTCAAAATTTAAATGACCTATCAAATATGGGAATTAAAACCCAAGAAATTTCAAGTGATCAGAGGGTGATTTAAGGAGCTTATTCTAACTTTTTTATAATTTTCTAATTATATTTTCTATTTTTTATTTATTTTTCTTTTTTAATGGGTATTTTCAATATGCATTTTATTTACAATATGTATAACATTTTCAAAACCATACCAAAAGTAAGAGTTGGAAGCTAAGGAATTTATCAGGGGTCAGTGTATGTTTAAGGAATTTATTTATAAAAAATTAGAAATTTTTATTCACTTTTAGTATATTTAATGTTTTTTCTTTTTTTATTATGCATTTTTTATTCTATTTACAAAAGAAAATCCATGTTTATTTGTTTTTTCAGAATTGAAGTTCCAAAGTATTTTTACTAATTCAAGTATTATTTTTGGAGTTTACATTATTTTTTATGGAATTTTTATTTATGATTTACTATTTTTTATATATTTTTTATGTTTTATGGTTTATTTTCTTTAAAATATTTAAAAGCCTATCAACTATCTTACTAAGATTGAAACATGCATATGAACTCCCTATTTTACCCTTTCATCAAATAACATTTACACTACAAAAAAAGCCCTTTTTAGTAATTGACTAAATAGAAATATAGTAACCAATCATATGTTTCCTTTTGTACAAGTGGCACACTAATTTTCTTTTCCCCTCTTTCTCCCCTCTTTCTCGGACAGTTTTCTCCCTACCTTATCTCTCTTCTCCCTCCTCCCCCCGCCTCCTCTCTTCTCCCTCCTCCCTCCGCCTCCTCTCTTCTTTCATTTCTCTCTACATTTCTCTCTTCTCTCTCGTCACCCTCTCTAAATTTCTCTCTTCTCTCACCCTTTCCTATCCCAAACCCTAATGCCGCTGCTCCTTTGTTCGGCCACCATCATCTCCAATGAAAGATCCATTCTCATTTTCGTATTTCCTCATCTCACGGTGCAAGGCGTTGAAGTGGAGTGGTAGAGAATATGGAAGCATTCGGTTTTCCGTTGGGAAGTTCCTCGTCTCCGACGGATAACACCGTTTTGAAAGTAAGCGAAAAACATCTGGGTAAGATGCTTTATATCTTATGTTCAAATTACTGAAATGTGGTTGTGTATGTATTGATTTTTGTTTTATTTTATTTATATACAGGTTACAGAGCGATCGATTTTGATTAATATGATATGGGGAATAAATCGACTCGGTAGTTTGCACATATGAAGGTAATGGTTTGACGGAATCAATGATTTATTGTTTTTTAAATTATTATAAGCTTGAATTTAAATTTTGTAATAAAGCATATGATAACTTCTTGTCACTAATAATTCTGGTGTTTATTCAGGGTGAAAAGGTATGCTTCAAACCAATTAGTGATGCATAAATTTCATTTCAAATCAATTAGTGATATCTTGAAAGGAGAATTTGAAGTTATAGTTGGAAACTTTTTTGCTGAAAAATGGTGGATTTATCAGAATTAGAGGTGTTAATGCTCTTTCAAAGGTATCCAGAAATCCAAAATTAGCAATATGTTGTTCTGTTTCGGCTTCAGGTGATGCCAATTGTCGTAACCCAATTTTTGACCCCTAAGATTCATATCATCTTAAACATTCATTGCATTTCCAGACATTTTCAAAACTCAAGAAGGATCACAGGCATGGATTCTATGGATTGGGATCTGGTTGACTTCCCTTTGATTCGTAGCTCAATTAGGTTTTTGCTGTTTCACTCGCTTGTGACACCCATGCAATTTGCTTTGTTATTACTGCCTTTTGACCTGATAACAGTAGTTTTTATCTTGCATCTTGCTTTGCATCTGTTTGAGTCCTGCATGACTGTGGATGGTTCGAAATCGAGTCTCGCATTACTTTTCGCACAATCATTTGCATCATAAACATGCTACGATTCATAGTCAGTGGACCTAATAATTGTGCCTCAAGAAAAGAACAAAAATACAGTCGCATTTGCGTCTTCTGTCAATCGTACTTGCATTTCAGCATCAATAAAACCTGGCTTTTGATCAGTTTACATTTCATTTCCAAAGAATAAAATCGAATTAATTGCATCTCATGCATTTTCGCGCTTCATGCGTCTCTTTGAACCAATCCACAGTCTTTAAAATAAAATTTCAGTCTTACAAGCAAACCAGTCGAATTTTTATTCGACTGCGTGCAAAAGCTGAAAACATTTCTTTCCAGTTTACGCCTGAAAACGACCATTTTATGAGACTTCCGATTGCGTAGTTTGAGTCAGTGCATTCAAAATAAATTTTCAGTCAAATAAATGAACCGGTTATTTTATTGGCCGATTTCATGAAAATACTGCGAATATTTCTTTCGAGTTTTCAAACCAAGTTTCATCTTTTATGAATCTGCGTTTCGCGTAGGTTATTTTGGTATGCTCGTTGAAATTTTTCGACTTTGTTTCAGTCGTTTTTAATCTGTCTGTACTCGTTTTTATCGGGTATTTTATTTGCGTTTTTAATAATTTTCAGAGACTTTTGTAAAATCTTCGCCGCATGTACATCGCGTCAGTGTGTCTATTTTATTTTTTCGATCTAACATTTGTCCGGTTTAATTTATTTTTTGGTTAATTTTTATCGTTTTTATTTAATCAGAAAATTGCACAAAAAATAGTTTTAGATAGTTTATTTTTAATACTTTTTAGTTTTCATTTGAAATAAAATCAGAGGGTTATTTTGGTCATTTTAGAAAATTAGAAAAACCCTAGCTTTTTAGTATATATAGAAATGTTGTTGAGTCATTTAGAGGAGGCCATTCTGAACAGTGAAAAAAGATCCATTCTGAACAAACAAAAAACATTTCAGAGAGGCCAATCAGAGGTGTCATGACGCAAATCCAGAGGAGAAAAAGGTATTGAAACCATGTCAAAATTTTGCTAAGAATAACCTCCAACCACAGTCCAAATACCTCGCTCATGCAGCATATTCCCAAACTGCAAAATCACTTGCAAATCTCCAAATCACATTCCAATAACCATTGAAAACCATGTTTAACACTCCTCTTCATACCTCCGTAGCCTCATAAACCATCACCACCGCAAACCGTTCTCAACAACATCAACATCAGAGCCACAACAACAACCGAATGAATGCGAATTTGAAGAAAAAAGAGAATAAGTGGTTCAATCCGCAACTGTTCAGAACCGCACCACAACGTCACTCTCACTGCTTCTCCAATCACTCAATACCCAATAGAAGGGAAATCTTCTGAATCCTCCCTTTTCCTCAACTTCTTCCATTTTCCTTTTCACTCAATCATCATCACGAATTCAACCTCTCCTTTTCAAAATTCAACCCTATTCTCAACAAAAATCACCATCAAGTTCAACACCACAACCTTCAGCCTCCAAGAATAACACACACAGTTGTTCTTTACTGCATCAACATCACATCAAAGTCGATCTCGCTACAACATCTCAATAAATCACCAGAAAACTCAGCATTCAACTCAACAACTAATTCAAAACGAGAGCTCAAAATCAGAGTGAAGAAGAAGAAGAAGGAAAGCGTCAATTCGAACTCACCCGTTCACATCGAACAAGCTCTGATTCCGTAAGTCATCTCACTTTTCTGAAATTGTTTTCACCATTTGTTTGCCTCTGGATTTTCGTTAGCTTGTTATTGATTGGAAGATGAGAGTAAGAGAGAACATATCATTGTCATATACGAGAGATTGAGACGCTTGTCGTTGTTGTTGATTCTAAAATTTCCATAAATAATCGATTGAGAGGACACCGAGAGCGTTGAGGATAGGGTAATTTTCGGCCCCTTTTTCGTTCATCCGGTGCCCCAATTACGCTGTTTCTTTTCAGGAGGATTTGACGTTGGAGATCTAGGTTTTGTTTGGGATGGGGTTTAGATGTTTTATTTTAGAATGTCAATGGTGATTGTTTTGGTTTCATTGTTGTTGAATCAAAAAATGCAAAGAGATGGTGGTGAAGGAACAGTGTCGCATCGCTTGAAAGAGAGAAGGAACAGTGTCACATCGTTTGAGAGAGAAGGGGAATCTGAAAGTTTGGTTTTCACTTATTTGCTAAATGTTTCGTTGGATTTTGATGGAATGAGAAATCGTGGGCCTTAGAAGCCCAACAATGCCTTCTTATCACACCCCCATTTCCTTCTTATGACAACATCTTAAACCCATGTGGGTTCCTCTAGGCCCAGTTCCGTTTTAACCTTGCGCCCCCTCTGTTTCCATTTGTTGCAACTTTGTTTTTCAGATTCTGCTAAGCCCATTTCCTCACAGCACCCCTTGTTTTCAGCCAATACACCCTAAGCCCATTACATTTAAACTTTTTTTAATTATTAGTTTTATTTAATTTAACTCTTTAGATTTTAATATTTTAATTTAGTATTAAGCCTAACTAGTAAGTTTTTACTTAAAAGAAAAATCTAAAAAAATATAGTTTCTATTTAGCTTAATTATAGTTTTTTTTTTGGTTAGATTTATTAATAATAAAAATCCTAAAAAATATATTTTCTATTAGATTTTACTCTTTTGTTTTAGTATAATTTTTTATTAAAGGTTTCAAAAAATATTTTTTATTTAGGAGTTCTTTTTTTAATTAGTTTGGGTTTGTTTTTTTACTTTTAATCAACAAAAAATTTATAAAAAAATGTTTTAATTTACTTTAAGTTTAGTTTAGAAACAGTTTTAATTAGAGTTTTTTTTTTATTTTTTTTTATATGTTTGATCTTATGACTGCTTGCTTTCCCTTTTAAATTGTTTGCTTACATCTGCTCATCTGTTTTTTTTGTCAAAACTTTCAAAAGGAGATGCGAGGTGTTCTCCCTATCGCTTCCATCTCATTCTTTTTTCTTGTTATTTCGGTCGATGAACATCTAAACAGATCATGTGAATTCTTTGGATTCGCGATCTAAGATGAGGTTGTTTTCTTTTTTTCCCTTTTCGTGGTTCCTCGTACCACGAACTACGACACTCTGATTTCTCCATTGCACTATGGAGGTACGTAGGCACTTGACTCTTACGTCTTGGCGAGCACAATAATAAAAAAAATTGTTTTTCTTTCACCATAATAATAAAAAAAACTGTTTTCTTTCCACATTAATAAAAAACCCCAAAAACATGTCTTTTCATCCCCTAGTTAGATAACATAGCAATAAAAAACAAGCTTAGCATAAAGAAATAAAGGGTTCCCGTACGGATGTGAGGGGTGCCTAACACCTTCCCCTTGCATAATCGACTCCCGTACCTAGATCTCTTTTCTTTTCTTTTAGGGTTTTCTCGATATTTTCCCTTTCCTTTTGGATACAATAAAGTTCGGTGGCGACTCTGTTTGATACAAGTTCCTCATACTTGATATCGTATAAAGTTCGAAATTTGCGCCGCGTACACCAATGCATCTGTTCAGACTGATGTTCCTTTCCCTTTTGATTATTCTGAACTTCTGGAACAAGTTAGTGTTTTATAATCTTTCATTTTCTTCCAATTTTTGGTTAATTGCAATGTTTAGTTTGGATTTTGATGGACAATTATAGTTGGGACATTTAGGTTCTGTTTGGACAAATAACTTAATTAGAGCTTATGTATAAGCTATTTCTGTAGCACTAAATTTGGTGTATATCCCACAGGATGGAGTTGCAGTGGAATTGGCTATGAAAGATAACAAAAAGCTAATGGTGAGTTATATCTGATAATATTTCTATAAGGAATTGAGAATGAAGGTTATACTCTAAACTGAGGTGAAAATCTATTAGAGCCAATAATGAACAACAATCTTAAACAGGAAATTGAGTTTCCCACAGCCGGACTCACATCTGTACCAGGTCCTCTATGTATTTCAGTTTCCTGGTTTTTTGGGTACAATTGTTTCAACTGATGTGGAAATCGATTTATCTCGTTGATTATATCACATGTGATGGTGAAGGTGGAATAGAGATGACCGGAAGCATGCAATTGATTCGTGAATTTTGTGACAGCTTCATTTCGTCCGAGAAAACCACACGAACAAGAATAGTAATCTTCTCGATCTAGATATGAGAGGATTTACAATGATGGTACTTCATTTTCCAATCTCTATTTTTCTTTTTCGTCAGATTCTTTGTTTTTTAATGGGTTTTAAGTGTCTTTGTTTTGTAGAATTTTCATGATCTAAGGAATTACCTGATTTTGTTTATGCTATAGGGAAAAACTGATTTAGAATCCTCACCATGGGTAAGTTCATGTAAACATTACAACATTTGGAATTAAGTTACTACACTGGTTTTACGGTTTAAACACAGTGAGCTTTCTTTTTGCGGTTTCGACATAATTACGGTTTCACTATAGCTTATGATTCTAAGTTGGTTTTGGTTTGAATTAAATACACAGAAAGCAATTATGAAGCTGAATTGGAGGATTTCTAAAATGTTGAAGCGACGAGGAGAAGAAAATTCCGCTTTTAATCTTGCTTACAAAGTGTTTGATGATATGACTTTCCCAGTTTCTTGATTCTTTCTCTTCCATTTTATTTGATTTTTTGATATAGCATTGTTATTGTGTAGATTTTCTGCTGATGCTTTGATTGTGGCTTGGATAAAAAGTTCAACTGTTTTTATTTTATATTCCTACTTCTGTAACTTTGTGTTGACGCTGCAATCAGACGATGATAGTGGAATGGATCCAGAAGCAATGTGATGTTGTATGAGTTTTGGACTTCTATCTTATTCATTCTTGTCTTGAGCACAACTTGATGAAATTGTAGTGCCCATGGTGAGTAGTATTTCTCATTTTACTACTTCAGTTCTGTATTGATTAAAATACTAAGAGAGAACTTATAACAAAAATACTAAGTGTATTATTATTTATGAATCTTGGTAATTTTTTGTATTGAAAAGAAAAATCTTACCAAGAGAGAACTTATAATACAAACATATATTATAATGATATAGAAGTTGAAACATGATTTATTCTCGGTTCAACCGTTTGAATCTGCCATTCCAGTTTTAAAAACACCTATGCAGATTTTGCATTCGTGAAGTGATTACAGACATATCCAAAACCTTGATGTCCCTATATCCTCTGCATTTTTTGATAACGGATTGCAATGGGCACCGTAAGTTTTATAAATACGCAACTCGATTCTGATTTTTCAAAGGGGAACACAAGTATGCAATTGTTTTCAAATTCATTTTTCTTCATTGTGATTGCAGATACATTATAAATGCAGGGGCTATTACAACCATGTGTTCATCATTGCTTGGTGGAATGTTGCCTCAGGTAAAACTAATTCGAACCCTCTTCCTTCTTTTTGTATTCTTTATTTTTATATTATTTTCACTACCAAAATTTAATTTTCTCAAAAAACTAAGCAGGAATTCATAGCAAGTTTCTGAATGAAATTGACTGACCGCATTTTTTTATTATTTGTTGTTGCAACCGTTTAGCAAATCGTTTATGATCTTATCTGGAAATCGGTTTGTATATTGATGTAGGGATGATGGTGGTATTTCAATATGAAATTGCTGAATTCCACATATCATTCTCCCAATGAATTTTTTCTAATAAGGTTTTTAAAGAAGTTTCCTCAATTTTTGCAACTGTTTCTATATTTACTTTGCAACTCTTCTATTATGTCATGGTTAGCTAATATTTGTTTAGTAAATGAATCTTAGAGACGTGTTTGTTTAGATTTCACTATTGCAAAACAATAATTTTATCTGATGATGAATGTATTATATCATTTTCTAATGATGAATGTATTCTATCTTTTTCTAATGAAATTATCCTCCACATAATTGTAGATCATTTAAGCCAGTAATTCTACCTACAGAAACTAGCCAGACTGTTAAGGAACGACTTCTGAGTTTCGTTAAATCTTAGTTATTTGGTTTGTTACAGACCCTCTTAGCTGTAATTGACTCAAAGGATTGGGTCCTGGTTTGTGATACTCTAAATAATGTATGTCGTTTGTCTATATTTCATAAGGAAGCAATACTCTAAATAAACTTTTTTCTTTAATGTTTTATGAGTGAAAGCTGGTTTTTAAATTGAAATATATTGCTTAATAAACTATGATTTTTGTTTGGTTTTATAAATATTAAATTGTTCGTATACTATTTGATAAACAAGGGGAGTGTGATACACATATTGCTAAAGCCCTGAAATTACTTATTGTTTTAGATGTGGTTTGATAATGCATGGTTAGCTCCTTTTAACCATTCTGGTAACTCTGCTGGAACCGTCACTACTTACTATGTAAGTAGCTATTTTTTCATCTATAAACTCATTCCCTTTGATTCTTTTCCAAAACCAACTTTCATTAACATATCTTCTTCATGATATCAAAAGTTATTATGAGCTTTTATTGATTTGTTTTGTTTGGTTTCTATTTTACTTCTTTGTAATATATTAGCTTCATGTATATCGTGCAGTTATCATCACAAGGACCATCACAGTTATGTAAATTTTAGCTTTTCTCAGTGGACAGGGATGCTAAATTTTCTTGAAGCGGGTCTTAAGGTTTGTTCAATTAGGTATAAAATACTTGATGGAACAATGTCCGTCGCTGAAAGAGATGAAGTTGTTAAGGAATTTAAAACAAACTCTGAGGTTTGTAAAGTCATATATGGATTCTTGAAGTTGTATAATTACCTAAACATACCCTGTATTTTATTAACCTTCCATGTATTTGATTGATTGATTAAGATGCTCATGATTGTTTATGTTTCCACTGTTTTAGATAGATTTTGTTTTTCCATGTTGTGTTGCTATGATGAATGACAATATGAAGTCGGACTAGCTGAGTTTGCAGTGGCCAGCGAGATCTTAACAGATTCCATACCATTTAAAGTTTCATCTTCTGAAGCTGCAGGTTTACTTGTGGTCGGTGTCACAGCTCATGACGCACTCACAAAAATTGGAGGAATTGTGCTTAATGGGAGCGACACAAATCCTACAGTCTTATTCTAACTACAAATATCACAAAATTTGATAGAATGATTTCAAAGATTTAATTTGACAATTTGATGATGCTTAAAATAGTTCTAAATCACTCTCAGTTGCAGGTTCATCGATTATCTAATGCGGTCTTTGTTGTAGCTCGTCTGAGCTGGTCGAAGTTTTCTGATTTTATGCTCTCAGTGCCAAGATAAAAGTTTTCTAATGTTTCCTGTGAGGGCAAAAAGAAGACGTGAATTGTAATTATTCAATGAATATCCATCATATTCAACTTTGGTATGTTCTTAAAACGTTGAGATATAATCATGCTTCTTTCTGTTAATTCAACTATGGTGTGCCAAATTATTTGTGGTGTTGTTGTGAAACATTTTCCTGACATTCAATTGTGCCTGTTTTGTTTGATTGTAGACTTCCTGGTACTGTTTTTGTTCTCTTCTAATATATAAAAATGTAAGTTCATTAGTATACTTGCTAATAATCCCAGAAATTTGAAAGCCTTGTCTCTTTCTTCGAAAAATAAGTAACTAGATACGACTCAGTGTTTCACTTAGTTTCTTCCCCTATATTCATATGTTAACAGATATTCCTAATATTTTTTTCCTATGCTATCATATACTCGCTAATAATAGTCTAAATTTGATTCTACTTTGAGTCCTGTAAAGCTTCACAGAAAAAAAATACTGGAATGTTTGGATCAAAAGTGTTAGTTCTTCTGCCAGCATAAAGGTAATGGAGTTCTCAAAAAGCTCCTTGAAATTTTGTTCTTCTGGTTTACATTCTTTAACATGTTTATTTTTTTGACTTTGTTCGGATACATCTAAAATTTTTGTCATCATGGAAAATCTGCAGGAAGTTGTAAAAAATTGTATTTAAGACAAGTAAAAAATGGTGCTCCACTTGCTACTGGCCGGTAATGTCAGTTAGTAACATTTGGTTTTGCCTTACTATAGTCCATTTCAAGAGCAATATCTCAGGACAATATCTTGTTTCCTTGTAAAATATCTAATTATATCCGGATTTTATCTCTATATTATTATTACATTCAACTGATAAACGCTATTCATTTTTTATATAACTTGACAGGTTCATCAAAAGAAATGGTCTGAAGTTATTCATAGCCTCCAACATGATATATGATGATATCCTACTTGTGATGGTTTGTGGAAAGTAGTATCACCTCTCTTTCCTTTGTTATCTTTCCATTCTCATAGAAGAAATGTTGAAAATGTCATCCGCATGATTAGAGAAGCAAGTAACATGTATTGAGGCTCGTGTTGAATACAAAAAATTCATGTGTGTATGATGACAAGAACCATTCATTTGCTCCTACGGATACACAACTCAAAAGTAGGATGACCAATTTATAATTAAACGATGTAGTTCATCGTTGTTCAGTTCAGGTAATTCAAGTTTATTTAAATCATAAAGGTCATTGTTGTTACAAAATCAATCTAATATTCATCTTTAATTTACTATATAGGTGTTCCTAAATACATGGAACACATTGTACATACCACTGGATCTAATATTATTTGCTGTTATTTCTAGCATGTAAGGTTATGGTTTGGATGCTAAGTTTTTTTTTATTGTGTGTAAGTGCTAAGAATTTACTCTTACTCATAATATTATTGAGTAATATTATTTTGATTGTGTGTAAGTGCTAAGAATTTACTCTATATAATTTACTCTTCATATTCTTACTCATAATTTATTTTATAGGAGTACCCTCTAAAAAATAGTCTAAGTGATTGTTTTATTGAGTTATTTGATACATGACTTTAGATCTTACTTTAATTTACTCTTCATATTCTTAACCATAATATTGTTTTATTGTTTTATCAAGATCACATGTTACTTTGATTCATGCAAGGCTTTAATTTTTGTACAGAAAAGAGGCTTCAACATAACCCATCAACTGATCTCTTTAGTAAGGTGAATTTAGTAGGGGCCATTTTGCTTTAAAAATTCTTCACTTCATATAGATAGTTAATTTCATAATTTTCATTCATTCTTCTTTTATGAAATGTTCGCAGTTATCCCTAAGATCTGGAGACAAGCCAACAATGTTAAGCAAGGTTTTCCTTCTATAATTTTATATTTAATGAGAATTTTGGATTAGTTTTCATTACTCTTTGTCATATTGAGTTATTTCTTTTGGGTGCAGGGTTCAAAAGAAAATATAGAAACTTCTTTTCATCTGACCCAAAAGGTAAAAATGGCATTCTTGCTTAATATTTATAAATTTTGAATCAAAGTTACACACTCATTTAATTTTTAACTATTTTTATCTTTTAAATTAATATATCATAGTCGTTGAAATATTGAATGTGGCTGAAAAATGATGCAGGTAAAACCTTTTATATTTGGAAAAAAGAAAATTTGTAGTTGGAATGATGGTTGCATTAACGAAGTTGGTACACTATTCAATGTAAGGTATGAGTATTTGGTACCAACTAATGGTTTACATGTTTTGTTAAATTTGATTTTTTATTTCCCTTCTCAACTGAAATGCTCTATGAGCTTGGGAATACAGTGACATCAAGTTCGCAACTAAAACATGACATTTTTGCTAAAAGACTTTGGTTAAGCAGACCAAGATTTTCCAAGCTAATTTGAGAACCAACGAAGATATGATCAAATCTGATGGAGCACAACCATTCTTCTCAAATTGTTCTTTATGTACAAAGAATCGTACAAAGTGGGATCTCAATTGTAAATGTCCAATGTCATGACACAAATCGAAACTGAATTGTGAGGTGGAACTGGTAAGTGGGATCTCAATTGTAAATGTCCATGTCATGACACAAATCGAAACTGAATTGTGAGGTGGAACTGGTTAAAACAATGTATTGTTATGTCGTCATGTCACTTTATGGAAGTCCACTATGTAAATAACACAACAGAAAGTCTTGGACACTTTAATAAATTAGCTAGAGTCTCTCTTAGAAGAATATAATACTATATTATTAATAAAGACGCGTATTGTGCTAAGACAAGATTATAGTTTAATGTTTCAAGTGCAATATCATAGGTCTCAAGGTTATGATGGTCGACAAGCTGTTTTTTTTCCACACAGTTGGTTTATGCAGATTTGTACCTTGGTCATGACTAAACACATACTAAATTAAGATTTGATATGATAGATTATTTTGTTGTCAAACAAACATACCCTAAGACTTTTATCAAACATGGCAATGAAATTTTTCTTAAGAAGTTAAAAATTGAAGCAACATATGCTAAGATTTTTAAGTTACTTAAAATGCAGATACGATATTGCATTGAGTTTACAACATGTAAACAAGCTCTCTTCACAATCACAACGAATTCAATAATGATTGTTAATTTATAAATATTAACAAATACTTATTTAAATCATAAATTTATGTAGAATGTTTCTAATTTCTATATATTTCGCTCTATATTATGGGATTTTTTTTTAATAATTTTGATTTTGTTTTCTTATCTAAATTTGTATTAATTTATTTAATATCTTCTATCCTCAGTCCTGTTTGAGAATTATTAAATTAAAAATAACTAATATTTTTTATTTTTAATTATCAAGTATCCTCAATTGAAAATATTCCAAGATCAATTTATCTCGACCACAAATTTAACTTTTAGTTAGTTGACTTACTACACAAAATTAGTATAATTGAAAAAAAAGTTTTGGATGCTAAGATATTTTATTTTGGCTAACTAGACATAAACAAAAATGTCAATAAAACAACATCCTTATACCATTAGACTAAAATACAATCAATCTTTTTTTATTTAATTTTTTTTACAATTTAATAAATTATTCAATTAGCACTTCATGTTACACGTTATAAACAAAACATTTATAATATGGAACACTCTTAGTTAGATTCAGGAAAAATATATAAAATGTGTTTCTAAAATGTGCATTCGAATTGGTGCTCACAAAATGAAATTATAACACGAGACACTACCAATTAAATTTAGATAAAATAATATGTATTAATATTGCTCTCAAAACGAATTTGAATTGGTGCTCGTGAAATTAAATTATAACACGGAACACTAACAATTAAATTCAAGCAAAAAAATATGCATAAATTTTTCCTTCCATGTGAATTTGAATTGTTGCTCATAAAATGAGATTTTAATACACAATCCTACAAATCAAATAAAATCTAAACAAACACGTCTTTAAGATTCATTTACTAATAACGCGCGGCAACTGTTTCTATACTCATTTTCAGTTGGTAAGGATATATATTTTGAATGATAGTAATTCATTTTTATAAAGCTTTATTAGTAAATGTATTTAATTCACTTTAATAGTTAAAATGATTATTGGATATATAATTTGAATTTTTTATTTTATATATATATATATATATTACTATTATTTATATCAATTGTGTTATTTAATTATATTACTATTATTTACTTATGAATAATTTGTGTCTATATTTTGATATACTTTGTAACCTAAATTATTTATTAACTTGAATTTCATTTCAAAAAGATAATTAAAGATATACATGTTTTTTTACCCTTGTAAATTTTATCAGTGAAACTCACTATTTTTACGTGACACTATCACCATAATATTTTTTTTAATATTTTAATCAATAAAATATTTGCAAATATTTATAGTTATTAGTGATGTTTATAAATATTTATAGTTACTAAATATATTTGATTTATCATATTGGTAATTTGCTGCTTATTTATTTTTAAATATTTTCAATTATTAATGATTTTATAATACCAATTAAATATCAGCAACTGCCAAATTTTTTCAAAAGATCTAAGATATGAATCATCGTATCCGCGCAGACACACTTTATTTTCACGGGACACTATCGCCACAATTCCTTTTTACACAATCTCATTTTAAACATTTTTATTTAATTCACAACTAAAATCAATATTTTGATATCTCAATTAAAATCGGGAGGCAACGCGCCCGCCCGTGCGGACGCACGAGTCATACACTAGTTAAAACTAAAAGTTGAAACTTGAGTTTTTTATTATAGGTTATTCACCTTATCCACTATTTACAAAAAAAAAATTATTTTTTTATTTTCTGTTTTGATATTTATTTTATATTTTTCTAGTTTTAGGGTATTTTTGTGATGTATTTTCATTAAGAATTATTAAAACCTACTTTATTCAACTAATTGGAAACCAAGGATTTTTGTACATCACCTATGGCATGTTACCTTATTAAAGGTCCCTACTGAAAATTGACCTAAACCAAAGGTATCCCTAGGTCAGGGAGGTCTTGAAGTCCATTCAATAAAATTTCCAGGCTTTTACATTTTTGTTTTCTATTTTTATTTTATTTTTGAAGTTTATTCAAGTTTTTATTGGTAATTTTTAATCATAAATATGAAACCCTAATCAAATTAATGAATTGAGATCCACCAATTTATTTACAGATTCACACTAATTAACATGATCTAGATGAATTTTTCCAGAAATTTATTTGCTCATTTAGTATTTATTTAGAATTTTTATTGCTATTTCAATTATTTACAAAAGAAAATTAATAAAACCTATTTATGCAAAAAATTATATTACAACAAATACATCACAAATTCAAAAATATTTTCTTGAATATACACAAATTTTTATGAGATTTTTTGGATATGTTTACTATATTATTAGAATTATTCAAAAATGATCAAACAAATAGAAATATATTGAAATTTAAATGAAATAGAGGCAAGTTTGAATTGTGGCCATCAGATCATGGGAAGCGCGCGCATTTGGACGGTTCAGATTGGATCCGAAAATGACATGTATCAAGAACACGCGCCAACTATCAAGAACCCTAGGATTCAAACCTCAGGATTTTGGAACAATTGCATCCTCACACCTTGGGGTTTTTGTTCTACATCTAAACACGATCTCAGAACACTAATTCACACGTATTTATATTACATATTCCACTCTATCATGAACCCTAGGTCCCATCTACGCAGATAAAACATTCAATTAAGTGTATAAAAATGCAATTCACTCATATCATTAGCTTCAACATGTTAAACTAGAGGGAATATCATTGATTTTTCACACAAGAAGCCATGGATTCTCACCTGGAGATTATGGAGGTTCAGTGCAAGACGATGGATCTTCTCAAAGCTCTACGATCCACGGCTACGTCCAATTCCTCTTGATTCAGCCTCAAAATCTACCGATGAAGCAAGATAAAAGAAGCTTTTGCCTTGATTCTTGAGGAATTTGAGAGTTCAATTCGATTTACATATGAGAGAGTATGATTCAGTTTTCAGTGATTTGTGTGAAAATGCGTGAAGACTTCAATGTTGATGATCAGATGAATATATAGAGTGATGTGGATTAGTTGGATCAGTTAGAAATGCCACTGAAATGCACTTGGATTGAATTTGCATTGAACTTGCATTTTGTGCCCAACTGAATTCCATTTCAGTTAGTTAGCTATGATCTTTACTTATTTTGTTTTTGTACACGTGCCACATGGGATTTGGATGATGAGTGGAAGTTTCAAGTGATCAAAAATACAACTGAACACGAATTGCACTCAGCTGCTATGAAGCACTCCCAATCTTTTTTCTCAATTTCAATTTTGAATAGAAAATTGCCCATCCTATGGAAATACTTGTATTTGAACATTTTATGATCCTTGTTATGTGAGGATCACTGCCTCCAAGTTTCAAGTTCCAATTCTCTCTAGATTGTGAGATTCGAAGGGAGAAAGAGGGATGCCTACCAACAATTTCCACTGTGGCAGTTTTGAGGTTTTGATGAAGCATTTTGTGAAGCAGCATGAATTGGTGTGAATTGGTGCTCCACATAAACCACAATCATGTATTAGAAGTTGTTTGTATCCTCAAATTACTTGTACTACCTTTACATCTTGAAATCACTTGGTGGAATGAGAATTATGCAAAAATGGCTCTTGGTTCCAACACATGACTTGAAGAAATTGATTGAATTGGGTGCTTTAGACCTCAAACAGATAGTAAACACATCAAATGTGATGTGTTTGAACCTCCATTTGATCCCCAAATTGATTGTACATGCCATGTCACTTCCATTTGCTCAAATGACCTCAAATTGTAAATTCATGCAAGGAACCATGTTTCAAATGATTGCAGCCTACAATTGTGGTCCACATACCTCCCAAGTACCTCATATGATCTTTTGAAACTCACATTTTGACTTGTAATGGCCTACACCAAAATATCACCTTTGAGCACAAAATGGCCATCTTGGTTTTTTTGATTGAATTGAAGAATTGGATGTATTTGAATCAATATGAATGCAAACATGTAATATTTGAGTAGTATGTGAGGTATTCCAACTTTTGTTTTGCCAAAAAACTCCATGGAAATCCATAATTCAAGCATACTTAATCATGTTGCTTCCACCACAAGTTTCATTGCAAAAACCCTTAAAATGATCTCAAATGCAAAAATGGACCTCACAATTGGTCTTAGAATGCCCCAAATACCTAGGAAACACTCCCCTTTTTCCAAAGTTTGAAAGTTGAAAATTGGCCTCTCAGGGGGTGACACATGTCACCTCCTGATTGGTCCAAAAACCAAAAAATCAAACTCGGTCTCATTCTCTTCTAAATGTCATGATTAGAATGAATCCAC